CCTCTTGAAGAATATTTGCCTACAGCATAATACCAATAATGGAAATAATATCAGATCATATAAAGTTGAGGCTTTTATTCTCTACAGAACTGAGAGATGATGAGAGAAGCACTCTGGGAATTTTCCCTTTAGATTAAATATTTGTATCATGACTGTCTGAGACAATCACGTTCAGCTTGAAAATTACTTTGCTATCTCACACATGCTGAGAATAAAAGATGCTTCCAGTATCACAATTAAGACATGAAGATCACATTTTCTATGAGATTTGTATAGTTAATAAAAAAAGGAAAAATATGTGAATGGCACTTAATGTTTCAGCTAACTTTAACTAGCTCCATTCTGTTTTAGTGACACAAGTGGGTCATCTAGCTTTCAAAGAATTGAGGCCATCTAGCTTTCAAAGAATTGGTCCAAAGGGTGGAAACATTCCATCCATCTTTAGCTCAACTAGTCAGTAAGTGAAGCTGGCCTTGGTGACATAATTTCTTCTCCCCCCTCATAATTTCTTTCGTAACAGAAATGGACTCTTGCTAAGTGTACCCCGCTCCAGCTGTTGTTCATTCTGAACTGCTTTGATGCTCGCTCACTCACCCACACACTCACTCACTCACTCACTCACCCACTCACTCACCACTCACTCACTCACCTACCCACTCACTCACCATTCACCCACCGACTCACTCACTCACCCACTCACTCAGTCACTCACTCACTCACTCACTCACTCACTCACTCACTCACTCACTCACTCACCCACTCACTCACCGTGGAGTCCATGCCAACTCACTGTGACCCTATAGGACAGGGACCCCTGCCGCTGTGAGTTTCCGAGACAGCACCTGTTAACGGGAGTAGACGCCCTGTCTTTCTCCCAGAGAATCCCTTAGTCTGCACCCATGACCGCATAAGGAGACACACACCTTCATCGAATGGCTGGGGGAGTGTGCAAATCCCGTATGTCTGGAAGAAAACATTTGAACACATCTCGAGAGCCTAGGAAGATGATTTTTTTCTTATGTGTTTTCCCTTAATCATTGAGAAAATACATGTGCGGCCTCCTCTGTCGTCTGACTGCAGTTTCTGCTGACCCCTGCCAGCCTGTCCACTGGCCACTGAGGCCAGGCAGGCTCTGGAGGCAGAGAGACCAGCAGCTCAACAATCCTTCCTCCCACCACCACCCCACCCCCACCCCTGTTCCAGGGTCGCCACAGGTGCTGGGTCTTCCTGGCACCTGTATCCTGGCAGGGCCTTGGGGTGGGCGCGTGGCTACCACTAGCTCAGTTCCTGCTCCAGCCTTCAGTGCACATTCTCTTTGGGCTTAGTAGATGATACAAACATGAAGTGACAAATTTTACTAGCCATAGCGGGGAGGGGAAGGGTACCACCGACAGGCCAGCACTGGAAGAGATGCTGTCACATCTTTTCGGAGAAAGGATCAGTTGGAGGGAAGCAGTAAGTAGCTCACGATGGAGGCAGGGGAAAGAGAGCTTTGCCTGAATCAGGACATTAGCAGGACATAGAATAAAGTCCCTAGGAGTCTCGGTGGAGTAGTGGGCTGTGTGCTGGACTGCTACCCTCAAAGCCAGCAGTTTGAAGCCACCCACTGCCCCCTGTGAAACAGATGTTGCAGTCTTGGAAACCTACAGGAGCAGTTCTACTCTGCCCTAGGGCCTCTTGAGTCAGAACTGAGTCGAAGGCAGTGAGTCGGATTTAATTTTTTTAGAAAACAATGCCCCTAATGGGCTGGAAGTGCAGCTAGCTTTCTACCGTGTATGTAGATGTAGTCACGTGAATCACTTACAAAGGACTTTGGGAAGGGGGGTCTATGCCAGCCTGAGGCAGAAAGTGGAAGCAACAACACCAGTTTTCATTCGCCTCAGATGGCTTGCAAGGAAGGCACTGCCGCAAAAGGGTGGTAATGCGACCAGTCAGAGAAGGGCACAGTGCCCAAGTCAACCCCAGCCTCTTACATGGGAGGGCCACACCAGATGCCACAAAGACAGCCCAATAGTGCATGTGCCTTGGACCAGACTGCTGCCCTGCCATGACGACTCCCCACACACACAGAGTGATGCGGAGGACAATTAGCACAGGACGGGGCAAAAACCCCACAGCGGCTTCAGGAATTTTCTAGAAGAGTAGTCATACAGCGTGTGATGGGCTTTCACCCTTGGTTCCAACCAAGTGCAGTGATCTGAGAAGAAGAGGGTGTGCTGCTAGGGTTCCTGTGGATGGACTCTCCCTGCCATCGAGCCCCGTCTGATCATAACACCCCTATACGGCACAGCAGAGCTGCCCCTTTGGGTTTCTGAGGCTGCAAATCTTCAGAGAGCCTCATCTTCCTCCCACCAGAGCAGCTGATGGTTTTGAACTGCTGACCTTGCAGTGAGCAACCCAACTGTATTGGCCAATGCAACCAGGGCTTCTCAGGGTCTTTGTATATGTCATCAGGTTAGGATGAGGCCACACCGGATTAGGATATTCTTCTAAGACGAGAAGACACTGGGAAGTCAGAGCCAGAGATGGGCTGAGGACGCAGCTACATGCCAAGGAACACCAAGGTTTACCAGGAGTTCCCGGAAACTGGGGAGAGGCAGGGACTACTGCCCGTCCACCCCTTGGGCTCCGGGCAGTGTTTCCTTCTGCTTTGCAGCACCGAACAACAGCCACCACAAGACTTTATTTGGATTTCACCAGATTTTTTTGTTTTAGTAATTTCCTCTTCCAGGATCCAATCCAGGATAGCACATGTTGCATTTAGTCTTCGTGTCTCTTTGTTCTCTCCTGATCTGGGACCTTTGTCCGTTTTTCCTTCTTTCAACAACTGGGACCCTCATTGAGGAGTACTGTCAGAGAGATCGCAGATTGAGTTTCTCTGCTGGTTTCTCCTATTTGGGCTTGAACTATAGCTCTTGGGGTAGAGTACTAAAGGCATCACGTGGCCTCCGCATTCTGTTTCATCAGAGGGTCTAAGCCAGTGGTTCTCAACCTGTGGGTCGCGACCTCTTTGGGGGGTCAAACGACCCTTTCACAGGAGTCACCTGATTCATCACAGTAACAAAATGACAGTGATGAAGAAACAACGAAGATAATCTTACGGTCGGGGGCGGGGTTGGGGGGGCACCACCACATAAGGAACTGTATGAAAGGGTTGCGGCATGAGGTAGGTGGAGAACCACTGGTTTAAACAAACAAACAAAAAAAAAACCCTCTCTGCTTTTAAGTTGATTCCAACTCATAGCAACCTTGTAGGTCAGAGTGGAATTAATTACCCCTGTGGGTTTCCCAGCCTCTCAGTCTTTGCAGGAGCAGGAAGCTCTTGCAGAGCAGGGGTGAGTTTGAATCATTGCCTTGCTTGTGGTTAGAAGCTCAACCTGGATCCCACTCTGCCACGCGGGTTCCGGACCTCACTACGTTCCACCCCTGATGATGCTCACTTTGGTGACTTGGTTAAGGGGAGGCTTGCTGGTCCCCCCTGCTGTAAAGGTACCATCTGCCCCTTCTCATACGCATGCCTGCTGGAGGCGAGTCACTGAGGTCAGCCCAAGTCACCGGGAAGGGAAGGGAAGGGAACTCTACCTTTCCTAAGTTCACACTGCAATGGACATCAGGGACGACACACCTTCCTTTTCAAGCCCCTGGAATGTGCTCAAGAAATGATCTTAGCCCAGGCTTCGTGACACTATAAATTCCTAGGAATCGTAGCGGCTGTCAAATGTTTTTAACCACAACAAAATAAAACTATATATGAATCATAAAACCAAAACAATGGATCAAAAAATGGTTATTTAAAATACCATTCGGCATTTAAGCTTGTGCTGTTTCCCCATGCTCATCAGGGTCATTGGATTTGGATGATTTCTACTGATCTGTCCTCAGCCTAAGTGATCTTTTCTATTGTTCTCTCTAATCTACTGAGATGCCCATCAAATACTGTCATTTTTCAGTTCTAGGATTTCATTTTGTTCTTTGTGAAGGGAGACATCAGACAGTGTAAGACATGACAAAATAATAATAATAATAATTTATAAATTACCAAGGGTTCCTGAGGGATGGGAGCGGGGAGGGACAGGAAAAAATGAGGAGCTGATAGCAAGGGCTCAAATAGAAAGCAAATGTTTTGAGAATGAGGATGGCAACAAATGTACAAATGTGCTTGACACGATGGATGGATGGATGGATGGATGGATGGATGGATGGATGGATGGATGGATGGATTGTGATAAGAGTTGTACGAGCCCCCAATAAAATGATTAAAAAAATAAAATACTGTTCTATAATCTTTTTGTTAATGAGGAAGTTGAAGAAGGCAATTATTGGCTATTTAAATGATGATGCCAAGAATCTATGTGGAAGCTTAAAGCATGAAGCCAGATTACGTATTTGCAGAAGATATTGCTTATTCCCATTGAGTCCATTCTAACTCATAGTGACCTTCTGCTGTGCATAGGTGTCACAGAGTTTGTTCCGATGCACAGTGACCCTACGTGTAATCGAGCAAAGCACTGCCCGGCCCCATGCCATCCTAAAAAGTGTTCCCCTAGTTGGCCCCATTGTGTCAATCCATCTCCTACACATTGCCCTATATAAATCAAACCAAACTCACTGCCATTGAGTAAGCCTGACTCATAGTGACTCCCTGTAGGTTTTTGAGACTGTAACTGGTTAGGGGGTAGAAAGTCCAGCCTGTCTCCCTTAGAGCTGCTGGTGGTTTCGAACTGCCGACCATGTGGGTCACAGCCCAGTGTGTAACCACTATGCCACCAGGGCTTCCCCTTCTCTGTATAGGACAGAATAAACAGCCTCATAGGGCTTCCAATGCTGTAGCAGACAGCCACATCTTTCTCCTGTTAATGACTGGTGGGTTCGAACCGCTGAGTTTTCAGTCAGCAGACTCGTGATGTGACCACTGCCTCCCCTGGGTTCCTTACCGAAGTGAGTCATGGTGGTCAATGTTTTATTCTTGAACAATAACAGAAAGACAAAAAATAAAGAAACTACACCGTCAACTCAATAACCTAGAAGAAGAGCAACAAAAGAGTTAAGGAGGGTAATATTACATCAGATGATAGCAAACATAAATTGATGAATAACGATAAAACATAAAAACAAGAGAATTGATAAACCAACGCTAGAGCGACTGCTTTGGTTGGGCGCACAGCCCAGCGTTAACATGCACACACTTGGTTGCAAAAGACCCATTTGCAGCTTGGGCAGAAATCCGATCCAGGAGGCAAACCACTACAGAGCAGGAGCCTCGGATGGAGCCACACGCCTGACTGTAACACGTTTCAGGAGCTCGGAGCCCCCTGTGGGCAGGAAGAGCAGGCAGGCGCCTCTTTGAAGTACCCGGGTTTTAGCAGCCAAGGGCACAGGAGCAGCTGCAACTCAGCAAGTTCTGGAAGCCTCCGGGCTCAGTGAGACACACCCGGGTTCTGGCTCTGGGGTGGAGCAGGACAAACCAGGAAGGGCCTGTAGACACCAGTTAGCTCCCAGAATAGCTCAGCGTGTCAGGGCAGAGAGGCCCGCAGAGACAAAGCCTGGAATCCGGCTAGTCTTGGCAGGTGTGGATGGAGGGTGGTACTTTGAGACATGTCTTACCAGGGAACCATGATTTACAGTTTTACTGGGAAGCAGAACACTCCAGTTACGTAAGAGTCATTTATTCCGAAAGACAAACACCACCACCACCACCACCCGCCCCGCCAAACCAGACCCGTTGCTGTGCCATGGATCCCGACTCATGGAATCATGGTGCGTTTCCGAGTAGAACTGCTCTGCTTTCAGCAGTAGATCCGCAGGTCTCTCTTCTGAGGCCCCTCTGGGTGGGTTTGAACCACCAACCTTGCCATTAGCGGTCAGCACTTAGTCACTGGTCCCACCCCGTGACTCCTGGGCACTAGAAGCTGGCGTTTCTTCTCACGTCCTTGGCACATGTTGTCAGGAGAGACCAGTCCCTGAAGAAGGTCACCAGGCTTGGTAAAGTCGAGGGGCAGGGATAGAGGCAGCCCTTGACAAGAAGGATTGACAACAGAGCCTGAAACGGTGGGCTCAGCTGTCAGACAGTCGAGAGGATGGCACAGGACCGGGGGTGTTTCCTTCCATCATTATGAGTCGCGACTGACCGGATGGCATCTAACAAGAACCACATTTCTGATCAATTTAAATAATTTATCTTACCCTGTGAGACAGACCTTCATAGAGCATCTTCACTCATGTCCAGGATTTTCTCCTCTTTTAAAATGATATGCTTCCTTTAAAATAGTCATTCCAAAGAGAAAGATTTTAAATTTAACCATATTCATTTCTTCCTCCCTTTTTCTGTTCCCCTTGAAGGCTAACAGTAGTTTAAAATAAATCTTGTCTATCCGTGAGGGAGCCCAGGTGCCGTGGGTTAAGGAGAGGGCTGTTAATCAAAACACCTGTGTTTCGAGCCCATAGGCTGCACTTCAGGGCGCAATGTGTGGTCTGCTTCTGTAGAGACGTACAGTCTTGGAAGTCCTCATGGAGCTGTTCTGTCCAATAGGGTCCCTGTGAGTTAAAATGGACTAGATGACTAGATAGCTGGGAGGACGTGTGTCTGTGACAGTCTGGTGGAAAAAATGGAAGTGTAAGTTCAGGATTTATACTGTCACCATCAGGATGGTATCATATTTTTAATGCTTCAGTCAATAACGTAATAAGAGAGGAGGATGGGATAGGGGGAAAAGGATGGAAGAAAGATACTGTGAACAAGAAAGCATCATGATCAGACTTGTAGACATTCTACATGTTACCTCAAAGCCACAAACATTTATACAAGAAACCAGAATCCAGGAGTTTCACAATTTCAAAACAAATAGTTTAATATGGATTTTCCCTCACAAAAATGTTCAAATGTAGCAAAGCCAAGATGTCCTCCTCGTCTGGGGGCACAGAGGGGAGGCAAACGCTGTCTATTAGATACAAAGAAGACTCAGTTAAATGTCGTCATAGGCTCAACAGCCCACCTGTAACAGCCACCGGGTGTAACTGGACTTCATGCCACAAACGCGTGCACGTATTTCTGTTAAAGCACTTGTTTATAGGAATAGCTAACATCTGTTGACATCTAGTCTAAGAGAAGCCTAACTGAATGCGCTTCTCAGTCATTCTCCTGTAGTCGTGATCTGGGTAGGAGGGACATTTTGTTGGTGAATTCACATTCTTTCTTTGGTGACATCTGTGTTGTCTAGATGTGGTGGGGATGTGCACTGGCACGGAGAGTGAAGAAGGAAGCATAGCACCCATGTTAAAGGGGGATTTGTACTCAAAGGGCAGTTCCAGTAACTAAGGTTGCCCCTCGGTGGGTCTAGCTCTCACGAGGTGCATGGCTGCTGATCTTGTTTGTTTGATTTGAAGATTTCTAATCCAGCTGGATTCAGGAGAAGACGTGACACAAGGGATATCATTGCCAATGTCAGATGGATCTTGGCTCCAAGCAGAGAATACCAGAAAGGTGCTTGCTTCTGTTTTCTTGACTATGCTAAGGCATTAACCTGCGTGGATCAGAATAAATGATGGATAGCCTTGAGAAGAATGGGAATTCTAGAATACTCTATTGTGCTCCTGCAGAATGTGTACATGGATTAAGAGGCAGTTGTGGGAATAGAACAAGGAAATACTGTTTAAAATCAGCAAAGGTGTGTGTCAGGGTTGTATCCTCTCACCATACTTATTCAATCTGTGTGCTGAGCAAATACTCACAGAAACTGGATTATAGGAGGAGGAATATGGCATTAGGATCGAAGGAAAGCTTATTAATAACCTGTGATATGCAGATGACACCACCTTCCTTGTTTAACGTGAGGAGGCCTTGAAGCCCTTGCTGATGGAGAGCCAAGATTGCAGCCTTCGTTGTGGATTACGACTCAATGTAAATAAGACTAAGATCCTCACGACTGGACCATTAGGTGACATCATGATCGATGGAGAAAAGGTTGAAGTTGTTGAGGATTTTGTCTTGCTTGAATCCACAATCAGTGATCATGGAAGTAGCAGTCAAGACAGAAAACGATGTGTTGCATTAGGTCAATCTGCTCCCCAAGACCTTTTGTAACAAAATCTGCTGTGCAATACCAGAGCACTGAGAAGCAAGCGACTGCAACAATGGGCTCAAGCACAGAACAGTGAGGGTGGCACAGTCCCACGCCGTGTTTTGTTCAGTTGTGCAAAAGGTCGCTATGGTTTGGAATCAACTCGGCGACCCCTAACAGCCACAACAAAACGTCTAAGGCCAAAGACAATTGGAACATACCATTGCTCACACAGAGACCGGAGTGGTAAATCAGGAGCTGTCTGTGCAGCCGACTCTTGCTTCTACTTAGAGTCCTCTCCTCTAAAATTCTTATCCCACAAGAGCAAAGGCCAGTTCTGACAATGGGCATGATGCATTGAATCGTATCCCCCTAGATATATGTTGGGTTCTGACCCCTAGATGGGTGGGTGAAATCCTATTTAGAAATAGGACTTTGTTTGTTGTGTTACTGGAGCCATATAGGTGTGGGAGTGGCCTACATCTAGTCCCTCCTGAGTAATTGGAAGAGTAACTAAGACTCAGAAACAAGAAACCCAAGACTGGAAGAAACCAGGCACTATCACAAGATAACAGAGGCATGTATCTACAGGGCTGTGGGGCTAGCCAGGTTCCCACAACTAATCACGGGTTCAGTAGGCACAATTGTACGGTTAAGATAGATAAAGATTATAGTAAGTCATAGAGAATAACAGATAGGAGAGAGAGTAAAATAAAGAAGTCAGACACATTTCATGGTAGCATGCTCACCTCAGCTCCTCTTGATGGTACATGCGGAGGTGGGAGACAAGAGGGCAGGAGAGAGCTTTCATGAGGTCTGATGTCTAACCAAAGTGTATGTATCTTTGGGGGCATGCAAGCCCTCTGATTACAGATAACAATCTATGTCATAGGAAGGGGTTGGAACATAGGCACTACAAGCAACAGGAGGGGGATGACCTAGGGGTGTACATGCAATAGTAAGGGGAGGGAATCAGGGTACATATGTGGCAAGATGGGTGGACCCTAGACTCAACATAGTAGCCTCACCTTAGTCATCTTTGAGTGGTCCTGGGCTTCCTTCAGGCACTCCTTCAAGGGAACAGTATCAGAATGGAGTAGGCCCTTCTTAGGGTGAGTCAGACTATCCAGTCTCGTTGCTCTCGAGGATTGATACTCTTAAGGAGAATAACCTCTGACCTACTTTCGTTGACCTCCTAGTGTACAGTCATTTACCATAAATAGCAAGCAGCATCTTGAGTTTGGCATAAATTTGGGGGAGACAACTTGGGAGAAATCTTTCTGTATCCCACATAAGACCAGGAATGTTAAGGAGCCCTGGTGGTGTGGTAGGTTAGGTGTTGGGCTGCTAACTACAAGGTTGTCAGTTCAAACTCACCAGTCACTCTGAGGGAGAATACGTCTTTCTGTTTCCTTGGAGATGTGCAGTTTCAGAAACTATGTGGACCATTTCTATCCAGGTAGTACTAGGAAATAGGCATGGCTAGACAGTCCATATTAAGATGAGTCCCTTTTTATTTAAGTTATTTAAATTTAAGATTTGGTGTGCTTTTTCTTAGGCTGTCATTTGGTCACGCTTCTTAGTGTCTGCGGTGGTTATTTCTAACCTGTGAGAATTTGGGAAATGTGAAACGGAATGTGGTAGCTATAGAATTTCATGTCAACTTGATGCATAAGTGTAGGGGTGGAGTCTAGCCTGTCAATCAGATCACAGCTGATGATGTTTCCTTGGGGACAAGGGCTTCTCATGAGGATTCTGGGAACTTCCTTTCTCTGCTTCACCTTCCTATTGAAGAGCCACAGCCGGAGAACTGGAGGAATCACATGGAGACCAGTGCTGAGATGCTTCCACAGGCACTGGATCCAAGACTTTGCACCCACCAGCCTGTGATCTTCCTGAATTTGGTATCATTCCATGTAACTGTATGAGTCTGAAGAAGAATTTATGGACTAGTATCAGACTGT